GATTTATAAAATTTAATAAAAATGGTTAAACCCCTAATTTGCTCTCACTAATTTGATATTTTTATTTTGATAAAAAGTTTTCTACGTAAAAAAAGTCCATTTTTAGTCTTAAAATTTGAAACCTGACTTCTTCTTAATTCTTTTGTTAAGTTTTGACATTAAATAATGAAAATTTCAAAAAAGATAAATCAAAAAGAACTTTTTTTTCCAAAGTAGATGGGCTAAATTGAGATTATTTTTAGTCTATTTTTAATCCATTTTTGGTTTCTCTACTTAAAAGTTTTTGTTATCTAATATGTCACGTATGTAAAATTTAATAAAAAGACCAAAAGGTATCAGATTTCAAATTTTATGAATAAAAGAGCTTTTTTAATTAAAAAGACTAAAAACTAATTTTTACCAAAATAGAGGGACCAAAATAGAAATTTAACCAACAAAAATTACGTTTCATTATTAACAAACATTAATATTAACAATTTATTATCCAGCGCTCAGTGACACTCCCCCAGTTTTCTGCCACGTGGCAAAAGATAAGATATTTTAAATCGGCAACCGATTGCAAACGGTTCTTCCTTTTTCATTTTCCTTTTCTGATAAATAATAAATAAACAAAAAAAGTCAGAACGCTAGAGAATTTTGGGCACAGCAGCAATCTTGTAAAAAAAGGTGGAGAATAAAGTAAACACACATGATATAGCTGGTTTATCATCGGTGTAGGAAGCATCAAAATCAGCTATAAAATTAATGAAGGATAAGAGATTTGATTAACTTAAATCACTTAATAAAACTTAACTATTAGTTCAAATTTCATTTTTCTCTTCTCTTCTTTCTTTTTTTCTTTTTTTTTTTTTTCTATTTCTTTTAAATCAAGTATATTGTAAAGGATTTTTCAAGTAAAGGGAATTTGGGTGTTGACTCTCAATTGAAATAGAAAGATCTAACATTTTTTTTTTCTTTCTATTCTCTTCCAAAAATAAAGTAAATGACTCTCTTTCTTTTTAAATTTTTTACTAATTAAACAGAAAAATTTTCACTCTCTTCTTCTCTCTCTACAGTTAAACATACTATTAGATTCTAAAATACCACTTTATTTCCTCTTATAGTGGCTAAGAGTGTCTAAAAGAGTGTTTAATAAAATTTAAAAATAACTTGTTTAAAAGTAAATTTTTTTTAATAAATTTAAAATTTTGTTAGAATTAAATACAAAAAATAACTTTTGAAGTTACTTTTAAATAAGTGTTAAAAAACTAAGATGCATACTCAAAAATTACTTAAAAACTATTA